TCTTCAAACAGTCTGTTCAAGGTATCCATGTTTGAATCGGATAACAAGATGTCGTCCATGTAGTGGTATATTATAGATTTGGGAAATTTCTTGCGTATTATTTGCAATGGTTGGTTCACAAAATATTGGCACAAGGAGGGGCTATTTAACATACCCTGGGGGAGGACGGCCCAGTGGTACCTCTTGGAAGGTTGAGAATTGTTGTAAGTAGGCACCGTGAAGGCAAATTTTTCTCTATCTTCTTTTTGTAAAGGTATGGTGAAAAAACAATCCTTTAAATCAATAACTATAAGAGGCCATCCTTTTGGTAATAAAGAGGGCAAAGGGATTCCAGATTGCAGAGGACCCATAGGTTGAATAACCTTGTTGATAGCTCTGAGATCTGTCACCATTCTCCATTTACCTGATTTTTTCTTAACCACAAATACAGGAGAATTCCAAGGGCTGGTAGATTCTTCTATATGTCCAGCATCTAATTGCTCTTGTACCAGCTGTTCTAAAGCCTGTAACTTTTCCTCAGCTAGAGGCCATTGCTTTGTCCATATTGGTTTCTCAGTCAACCATTTTAGAGGCAAGGCTGTTGGTATCTCTGAAGGGGCTTCAATTACTTGTTCTTGTATGGCCCGAATGGCCGGTTTTCTCCGTTTGTAATATCTTTTAATATTATTCTCAGAAATATAGGCTCTAGAAGTAGCAGGAATGTTAATTTGGGTATTCCATTGTTGTAATAGGTCACGACCCCATAAATTCATTGCAATATTGGCTACATATGGCCTTAATTTTCCTATTTGTCCCTCAGGCCCTATACATTCAACCCATCTTGTGCTCTGTCTTACTCGAGATAGGGTTCCAATTCCCAGGAGCTGAACATTTACATTCTGAAGAGGCCAATACGGATGCCAAGATTCTGGGGTAATGATACTTACATCAGCACCTGTGTCCAGCAGGCCAGTAATAAAAATGCCATTTACACACACTCTCAGCTTAGGTCTTTGATCATTTATAGAAGTTTGCCAAAACACACGTAACTCATCTTTCTGCTCATTATCGTTTGTAACAGTAGGCATGAGGTTTCCTAATTGTCCTGACGAGGCACGTTCTCTGCAGAAACTGGAAATGACTGAACCATGTTTGCCATGGGGGCCTGTGAGGCCCCCCCTCTCACGTTTCCCGTCTGTATCAGGTTGCCTTGTCTATCTCTTGTAGACCTGCATTCATTCGTCCAATGTCTACCTTTTCCACATCTTCTACATAAACCTGAAGGCTGAGTCCTCCTATTTCTGTTATTTCTAGAAGATGCATTATTATTATTTCTGAAGATCCGTTGTTTACAATTCCTTTTCATATGACCCATTTTGCCACAATTAAAACATTTGGTATTCTGGTGTCTCCTTTTACCATTGGAAATTGCTTCTTCTACCCATGCTTCAGTGCCATAATCAAATGTATCAACATCCAGTGTATGCAAGACCCATTCTTCCAAGGGTGCTGATCTGAACCTTAAAGGCCCCAAAATCTTTTTGCATTCCACATTTGCATTTTCATAAGCCAAAGACTCAATCATTATACGTCTTGCGTCAGGGTCAGGTATCCCTATTTGCACAGCCTTAGTAAGTCTTTGTAAAAAATCACTAAAAGGTTCTCTCAGACCTTGTTTAATTGTGACAAATGATTCCATTCTCTGTCCTGGGTCTTGTACCCTGTCCCAAGCCCTTAAGGCTGCTGTAGTGCATATGGAGAGTGTGTTTTCGTCCAAATTAGCTTGTTCCTGAGGGTCAGAAAAGCGTCCTTCACCTAGAATTTTATCTAGGGAGATGTCACTTCCCTTCGCCTTTTCTTGCTGTTCTAAAAGTCTAGCCTCTTGCCTGAACAAGCATTTCCATTTTAAGTGCGGCCCACTCTCAAGGACTGCAGAGCTCAGCTGGAGCCAGTCCAATGGCGTAGCTCTGCTTGTGGATGCCCAAGACTTTAGCATCTCTTTAACAAAAGAGGAATGCATCCCGAAAGTCATGACAGCCTGTTTAATTTCTTTGAGATCATTCATACGGACATGCTCCCATGTATCTTCCTTAATGACCCTAGGGTTTCTGGAACCAATCACCTTCTCTGTTGTTATTACTGGAAAGGCAGGTAGAGCTGTAGGTAGAGATTTGTGGAAATTGTCCCGGAGGGATTTACCCACAGATGTAGTTAAAATTTGCCTTTCTACCGTTTGTTCTTCTTCATCAGAATTTAGAAATTCCTCAATCTTTTCAATTCTATTCACCATTGCCTTCTGCAATGTCTGTATCTCCTGTCCAGAATTATGTTCCAAAGCCTTCATTGAGGATTCTAAAGTATGAAGTTTGTCCATTAGAGATAAGTTCTCATCTTTGGACATAATTTTTATGGCATAAACCGTGCCTTCTTGTATTGACAATCTTTCTGCCAATCTGTCATAAGCTTTAGACAAAATCCGATAGTCACATTCAGCAGTTTTGATTCTCTCAGTTACTATTTCAGTTCCTACAGAAAGGGACTGAAGCTTACGATCCAAATCAGCTGTTCCTCTTCCATAGTAATGAATTTCTCCTTAACATCAGCCTGTACCTTTTCTAAATTTTGCTCAGTTGATCAAGCCATGTTAAACAAAGTTCTGTTCTCTTCCTGGAGAACTTCAAACTGATTCTTGAGAAGATTGTTGTCATTCTCAATTGTTTTTAAGCATTCAACCTCTGCCTTAAGAATCCTGGATTCGTCTCGTAAAGACTTTATCATATTTCTATTATCAATCCATATAGTACCGAGAAAAACTACGAATCCCAGAAAGATCCATAGAGGTGGGGTGATAGACACCTCTTGTAAAATCTCCCACACGGTACAATCAAAAATGCTGTTAAAGTCTTGAATTGTAACGTTTTCAGACATTTTCAATCAAATCAGTATTTATTTTTATTTATAAAAGAAATTTTACCTGTAAGGACCATTTCTTGCCAGTGTTGATGAAGTGCAGCTGAGTCCACATGGCCAAAAAGTCAGAGCCGGCTGAAAGTAACCCTCGAGACCAAAAGTTAACAGTAAATAGCAGGGGGGAGGGCCAGGAAATCGGGGCAGAGCGAAGGCCGGGCTCAGCTTTGAGTTAGGTAAGTGGTCCCTTTGTCGCAAATGGGGAATCGCCCTGGTGCTGCAAAACTGCAGGCGCCTGAACTTCCGCTAATTCAGGCAGCGGGGTTCCACTGCAAACTTAGCCAAGGCAGGCAGGGAGGGGTTAATGTGCTCCGGCCCGAGTAAGTCTGGTGGATGGGGTGGGCAATTTGCGAATGGGGGCTAGAGGGAGGTCTTGCTCTGCGACTGTACCTTGGCCTGGGTCAAGTTGCCCATGAATGCGCAGCTGGACTTGAGTGGGGGAAGGGAAAGCAAGCCGTGACCCGTTGTGAAAGCTAGCGGGCTATGCTCACTGGAGCCCAATCGTGCTTCCTGAGCTCCGGTAGCTGACTTGCTCACAAAGGCTGGGAAAGATCGAGTTTGCGCCCCCGGGGTGCTCAGGGGCAGGGGCAAAAAAGCCCAACGTTGGGGGCCAAACTGTAATCGGCGAAATAACCAGGCTAGCTTAATATGAAACAGCAAATTTTAATGAGGGGATAGCTTACAACACCAGGGTTCCAGCGGTGAGCAGGAGATACAAAAAAAAAAAAAAAAAAAAAAAAAAGAGGGCATCAGAACATTAGCCCGAGGCGAACACGCCCCCTAAGGGGGCTGGGCTATCCCTACAATCTCTCTCAAAATCATCTTCAATCCCAGGATCTGGAAGGTCAAAGCCACCCACAAGTTATCTCCTAGAAAAATGATATAGGCTCAGAATATAGATGAGATGAATGATTGTGGAGATATGATAGTCAAAGGGATGATACTAGCTCATTCATAAAAATAAGACCAGGTTTGAGACTTCTTCATCAATGGGACCAAAAAAAAAAGGATTAAATTTTGCTCATTAAAGATAGACTTTCCTCATGTTTGTCTCCCCCATTCTGCTTACTTGGGCTCAAAATACGCAGTGATATCACTCTTAGGCATATACCTGAAGGATACTCAATCATATCACAAAGACCCTTGCTCAACAATATTCATAGTAGCATTATTCATAATAGCTAGAGCCTGAAAACAACCTAGATGTCCCTCAACTGAAGAATGGATAAACAAATTGTGGTATGTTTATACAATAGAGTATTACTACACTATAAAGAACAATGACATTATGAAATTTGTGGGCAAATGAAAGGAACTTAAAAAAAAAATACATCCTAAGTGAGGTAACCCAGACTCACAAAGACAAACCCGGTATGTACTTACTCATAAGTGGATAGAAGATATAAAGCAAAGCACAGGATAGCCAGACTACAATCCACAGCTCCAGACAAGCTAGAGCCTTCTTCTTGTAATAGAACAAGATAGAAAGAACCACAACCAAGTACCAGGCCAAACTCCAGGAAACCAGTCGACGAGAGACAGAAGGGAATATATGAAGAAGGGAGGACAAGATCATGATGGAGCAATCTACAGAGAGAGCTGAACCAAGTTCATGGAAACTCATGAAGTCTGGATGGGCAGCTGTGGAGCCTCTGTGAATCTGAACCAGGCTTTCTGTATGAGGGAGTCAGTTGTGAACCTTGGTCTGAGGGGCCTCTGGCAGTAGCACCAGGACCTATCCCTGGTGCAGGAGCTCAATCCCTGTTGCAGGAGCTAGCTTGTTAGAGCCCATTGCCAAGGAGGGGAAGCCATACTCAGACTTAATGCAGAGGCGAGGGGCTTTGTCCTGCCCTAAATAAAAAATGTGCCAAACTGTTTCGACTCTCAATAGGAGCCCTTACCTGCTGGGAGGAGTGGATGGGGATTGATCTGGGGCAGGGGAGAGATGAAGGGGGCGGGAGAAGTAGGAGGTGATTGGTATATAAGATGAATTAATTAGTAAATAAATATTAAAAAAAAAGAAAAGAAAAACCTAGCCCCCCCCCCCCCGTGAGAAAACAAATAGTTTCTGTCTTAGCTGGGGTTTTTATTGCTATGAAGAGACACCAAGACCATGACAACTCTTATAAAGGAAACATTTAATTAGGGTGGATTTCTTACAGTTTCAGAAGTTCAGTCCATTATGATCATGAAGGGGAGCATGGCAGTGTGCAGACAGATGTGGCGTTGGCTACCTCTTTCACCAGAGGGCAGCAGGAAATCAACTGGCTGTCACAATGAGGGAAGCTTGAGGAAAAGGGACCCCAAAGCCCACCTGCACAGTGACCCACCACCTCCTCCAACAAAGTCACACCTCCTAATAGTGCCCTTCCCTTTAGGGATTATTTTCTTTGAAGCCACCAGAGTTTCCAAAGCAGTCCCTGTGGGATGCCGGCTTTCAGATCTTCCCTTCTCCACGGAGTTTCCTCACCCTGCCTTCCTGTGAGCCTCAGTGGCAAGTGATGAATTTTGATTCTTGCCATAGCAAGCTCCGAAGAAACAGATTTTGCTTGCTCTTATGTGTGTTATCTTGGTACGTGCTATCCATGGATATTTTGAAGTGTCTCAGAGTCTGCTTACCCATAAAGGAAGAAGGCTAAAACCAGGAGTAGTAGAACAACCTGGGTACCAGAATGGAGACTGTTATGGGCAGAGACTTTCAAGTTCAGTGGGAGAAGTGCAAACACAGGTACAGAACCCAGGATTACTCAGTTCATGGACTGGAATCCCTGCAGGAAGAGGGAAGGACACAGGGACTATGCAGCGACACAGTGGTGTTGAACATGGAGAGCTGGAGAATGTAGGTCACATATGCCGCCTGTTTGTTTCTGCCTGCTTAGCCTTGCCTCCCTCTGGTGACTCCACCAAGCTACTGCAGTGAGAGAAGCTGGTTATCTGGTAAGGAGTTCTCATTTTGACAGCAGCAGACCTGCCCAAGCCAGGGTTCCAGAGAGACCTGCAGAAACTCGAGTACAGGGGCACACGGTAGGGACATAGCAGAACTTTCATGGTCCTCGTGTGCACACTGACACACTGGTCCTCGTGTTTGTGTTGTGGCTGCCTTATCTCACTGGTCCAGTTCTTTCTGCCGTAAACCCAAGGATAGCCTCGTGAGCCCGAGATGTCCTGAGCCTGGAAGAAAAACTGACACCTTAGTGGGAGATGTCACCCTGTTGAAACCATGGCACATGTCATGTAGCAGGCAGCATCAAAGTGGAGCTCTGCAGTGAAGAGATACGCATTCATGGGGAGCAAAGGGCACAGGGGCAGGGCTGGGAGGGGAGGACCACTCCAGGCACCTCAAGGCTGGCAGTGATAAGGACCACATCAGCTTTTGTAACTCCCGCCCATGAAGAAGCTGATGATCGAGGCACCATCTTCAAATGGCCAGAGCGTCCTCACCTGACAATGGTGAAACTTCAGTTTGTCAGTATCTTGCCATCTGGGGAGCAGAGAAAGGAAGGCCCTGGGAGATGCTGCTAACTTCCTTTAGCTTTAACTCCTATGTGGCCTCGTTGTGTCTTTGCTTCTTCCTGGAACAGAGAGCAGAGAGGGTTTACAGAAAACAGATTTTCAAAGGAAGGACAAGAATAAAACAGCCCATGAAGAGTGTGCATAATGCCAAAGGCTTTCAGTTCAAACCACACAAGCACCAAGCGGCCAGTTACACAGACAACTTACTGTTATCTTGTTGGTTGGCAAGGCAAGCACACTTGGCTGGTGGCTGCCCTCATTTTGTCTCTTTGATGACAAACTGTAGTAGGGATTTCCAGGAAAAAGACCACAAATGAGCCATAGATTACATTGCATTCTGTACAGAAATTTTTTTTTGTTACTGGACTGAGTCTTGGGTGTAGCTGAGCCAGAAAGCATCCATTCGCTCCCCTTCCTCTGCTGATCTGTAAAAAACATGCTGGAAGAAAGCAATTCAGTGAGTGAGCTATGTGGAAACTTGGGAAGCTTTCGCTCAGATGAAATAGGAATAAGATGTGCCAATAGCTCAGGGATGTATTGATGTGATGTCGTGGAACCACTCCTCCATGTGAATCTGTTCTCAGCTTGTTTTGGAATGCCTTCCTGACAGGTAGGTAGTTTTGACTGTCATTTTCCCCCCCAGAGACAGGGAGGGTTTCTCTGTAGCTTAGAAGCCTGTTCTGGAACTAGCTCTTGTAGACCAGAATGGACTCAAACTCACAGAGATCCACCTTCCTCTGCCCCCTGAGTGCTGGGATTAAAGTAGTGCACCACCACGGCCTGTCATGACTGTCATTCTTATGATTCTGACATGAATTCTGAGGAAGGTGAAGATCAGCCATAACAGAGTGACAATGAGACAAATGTACCTGTCCTACAACAGAGTGACAAGGAGATACAATGTACCTGTCCTACAATACAGTGACAATGAGACACAATGTACCTGTCCTGCAATAGAGTGACAAGGAGACACAATGTACCTGTCCTACAATACAGTGACAATGAGACACAATGTACCTGTCCTACGACAGAGTGACAAGGAGATACAATGTACCTGTCCTACAATACAGTGACAATAAGACACAATGTAC